ACTCCCCTGCTGGCCTGGTCGCCCTTCACTGCCCCCCCCCACCCCCCGCTGGCCTGGCCGCCCCCCAACTGCCCCCCTGCCGGCCTGGTCGCCCACACAGCCTGCTGTTCAGTCGTTTGGTCACCCCTCACTATCCCCCCTGCCGGCCTGGTCGCCCCAGGCAGCCTGCTTGTCATTACTGTTATTGTGACAGCATCCCAAACAATTTGCATATTCCTCTATTATTGGTATAGATTGTTGTTCATTTTCATTTTTCTTAATTTTATTTTATTGTTTAAAGTATTACAAATAGTAGTACGTATGACTCCTTTTTTTCCCCATTGACCTTCCCCTGGCCTCCCCTACCCCCCGGCACATGCCGTCATCCCCACCCCTCACCCCCCTTAACTTATTTTAAATTAGTTTGTTACTATAAGACTGGGTTTCTTCTACTGTGTTGGCGTCTGTCATGAGGAGTCACTAGGGGCCTGGGATTTATTTAGAATATAGAAAGGCAGGAGGTTGTGGTGGAAACCAGCATATTAGAATATAAATTTTCAGAAATGTAGCAGTTCTAGGTGATGATGAAGTCCTGGGTTTGGCCAGGATGGATTGGAGATGCAAGTTCTTGGAAACAGGATGTAGGGCAGTTGTTGGAAGGTGGCAGGTAGAGAGGGAGGATCGAAGGTGAAAGGCAGTTTTATAGGAACAGAGCACCACGGAGGAGCAATTATCTAAGTCCATCCTTTCCACCACACAGGGAGCTCCTTAAAAAGCAGGGCTTTGCCCTGGCTGGTTTGGCTCAGTGGATAAAGTGTCAGCCTTTGGACTGAAGGGTCCCAGGTTTGATTCCGGTCAAGGGCACATGCCTGGGTTTTGGCGTGCAGGAGGCAGCCAGTCAATGATCCTCTCTCAACATTGATGTTTCTATCTCTCCTTCCCTCTCCCTTCCTCTCTAAAATCAATAAAAATATATTAAAAAACAAACAAACCAGGGCTTTGTCCTAACTGGTGTGGCTCAGTGGATAGAGATTTGGCCTGCAGACTGAAGGGTCCAGGGTTCCATTCTGAGCAAGGGCACATGCCTGGGTTGTGGGCTCAATCTGCATGAGGGTGTGTGCAGGAGGCAGCTGATCAATGATTTTCTCTCATCATTGATGTTTCTTTCTCTCCTTCTCTCCTCTCTGAAATCAATAAAAATATATTTAGAAAAACATAGAGCAAAGTGAAGAAAAGGCGGTGCTGTATCTCCAAGACCTATTTCAGCTTTAAAAACAAACAAACAAACAGCCCCCCCCCAAAAAAAACCCCAGAAATAAATGATAAAGGTTTATCTAAGGGTATAGTATTAGCGTTTGCAAAGTAGAAACAATACCCAGAATGTTCCAAAGAAGAAAGAAAAGTTCAGAGTTCTTATAGTAAAAAGTACACTCTTGAGAAGAATCAGCCCTGTGCTCAGCCTCTGCACTGGTCCGGATGGCAATCCTCTACATGACCAGTGTTTGGAATGATGGGGGCAGGCAGCTTGGATAAGCAAACATGAACATTCTTTCTTTAGTCCTTCAGCGGATAATCAGAGGGTGACCTGAAGGTTTGATGTATAAACGGGCATTTTTGCAGGACTGGAAATTCAGACACAGTCTAGTTAGAACAAGAGTAGAATCATTTTCTCATATCTCAGTCTACCTGACTAGTAATTTAGCACCTCTTCCCTCTGGTCTCACTAATAACACCTTATGTTGCATAAGCTTCATCTCACTTAATTTTCTGCCGAAGCCAGTTTGGCTCAGTGGATAGAGCGTCGGCCTGCGGGCTGAAAGGTCCTGGGTTCGATTCCGGTCAAGGGCATGTATCTGGGTTGCGGGCACATCCCCAGTAGGAGATGTGCAGGAGGCAGCTGATCGATGTTTCTCTCTCATTGATGTTTCTATCTCTATCCCTCTCCCTTCCTCCTTTAAAATACAATAAAATATATTAAAAAAAAATTTTTCTACAGGAACCTCCTAAATGGTGTCTCTGCTTCCAATTAATGCTCCACCAGAGCAAGCTTCCTAAAGTTCTGACCCTTGGGCTGCCTGTTCACAGCACTGCAATGCCTTCCTCTTGCCCTCAGGATAAAGCCCAGCTCCTTGAAGGTGGTTTATGGAGTTTTTCATGATCTAGTATCTATTTACGCAGCCAGTCCCATATCTCACTATTCTCTTCACTCTGTTGTCCAGCTTGACTGATCCATGTTTAATTTCCCCAATTCCTTAATTTCTCCCTCATTTCCAGGCTTTGCCCTTATGGTTTCCTCTGCCTAGAAGACTATTCATCTGTTAGAAGGTAATTTTCAGAAAAAGGTAAAATTGTGACTCACACACGGTTAAAGAAAAAATTATTCTGACACTTATTAAAATAGTAAAGAAGACTTTGTTTGGGATTATTGCAATAGGTGTCAAGACTATCCCAATCTGAGAGAGATTGGGCTCAACTCTGAATATAGTACGACAAGTGGATATGACTAGCCAATGAGCAGAACCAGAGGGCCAGCGGATAGGAAATGACATCGAGGGTAGGGAGAGTCTTGCTAAACAGACATAAGATTTTTGCTAAAGGCAGGCTAGGCTGATCAGATATTAATGTTGGCAGGATTCTTGGAAAGTGGCTAGAGGCCCGAGATGAGGCCTATTTGGAAAGACAGTTCAGACAAGCGGGGGACCCAAGCCTGTCTAAAGTTTGGTCACGTTCTTGTCAGTACACATATAAAAATGAACACGTGTTAAAGGTTTTATTAACTCAAAGAGGACTAGGAAGATGTTACAACTGGTTCAAAAGGAAAATCTAAACAGCAGACTCATTTACAGGTCAGGTATACAGAATGAATATGAAAATGGAGGCAAAAACTGCTTTTTTCTGCAACGTGGGGAGTCCTGGGTTATTTGAGCCTCCAGCAGAGAGGGCAGCATTTGCCTGTCGATCAGATCAGTTGCGCACAGGGTTGTAAAATGGTTCCAGGAAACAGTCTTCTAAGCAGATGGATGTGTGTGGACAGTCCTCCGGTTCCCTTCGCCGTCACTTCTCCGGGGCAGCCCTTCGGCGCTCGGGTGTGAACCTCCGCTCCTGAGAATCAACGTGCGCAGGGGGTAGGGGAGGCCACCAAACACACTGCATCTAATGGAGCGACCATGTTACGCTAACATCGGAAAACATTTCACACCCTTCCGCCCGCACCGTTCCTTCTGTTATAAGTTTCCACTCGAGGCCCGTGGCGGATACGGTGCGCCGGAGCATCAGCAACTCTGTACCCCGAGGAGGATCAATGTTGCTACTAAGTGGCACCAGGCAGCAGGGGCGCCGCTGATACACCCTGCAGGGCTCGGCCTCCGGGTCAGTCACAGGCCTGAGCCGGGAAAGGCCGGCCTGGCTGCGGGTTTCCAAGGCTGAGGGGCGGGGAACGGAACGCCGCAAGGCGCGGTGAACCCGCGTCCCGCCCGCCCGGCGGCCCCACCCCGAGCACCGCCCCCTGAGCGCCGCCCCCACCCCCGAGCACC